CGTTAAACCCAATTTCATTTGAGTTTATATTTGATTATTTGTATATATTTTTTAAAATTTGATTATTTGTATATATTTTTTAATTTTGATTTATTTTTTTTTGTATATTTATTATAAATTTGATTGTTTGTATATTTATTATAAATTTGATTATTTGTATATTTATTATAAATTTGATTATTTGTATATATTTTAAAATTTGTATATTTTGTGTTTCAGATAAATCTGAATCTGACGTTGAAAGAGAACGTGCATTAATAGAACAATGGGTCAGTTTAACAGAAGAACGGAACGCTGTTCTTGTTCCGACTCCTGGTAGTTCTATACCTGGTGCCCCAGCTGATTGGTACGTCCATAATAAAATAACAATTTCAATTTTAACGTTCTCCATACAAATTCAGAGATTAATTGATCATTAACCTGAATTTAAGACATGTTCCTGAAGCAACGACCACAAGTTTTACTACATCTAGACTTTGCTAGACTGGTTTGCAATTCCTGAACTTATCGCTACGTTATCTCCTTTTAACGTTGGGGGGTTGGATGGCTGAATGGTTAGCGTGTGTGCACTGTATTATAAAGTCTGTCATTGAGTAAACTGGCGTGGTTTCGAATCCCCGGTTGTACGTGACAAGGAGTAGATTCGCCTGTCCAACTTCGTGGGTTTTCTTCGGGTCCTCCGATTTCCTCCCACTGCTAAAGACCCCTACGCGCAAGCGAATTATGGAAATAAAATTGAACCATATGTTAGTCCCAAAATGACCTAGTTTGTGTCGAGTGGACGTTAAAACACATCCAATCAGAGGTTGTAACACAAACACACTCAAATCAAACATCGACCTCCATGGAAACCTTGACATTGAACGAACCTTGAACTTTGCACCTTGATTATCACAGGTAGACATTTCAGTTGGAAAGTGCGAGACATGGTATTCGCGATGATCAAGGAACCAGATAGGCTCCCCAGCTGGGTCAGTAGCCAATCGCAATTAGTGCCAAAATATGTGGGGTATTATGTGAAGGGCTTGATAAGCGAGATCAAGCCTTCTATTGAAGATGATCTTAAGGGAACTGTCTAGTCGTTCGAATGGGACTAAAAACTAAGGTCCCATGAACACATTGGCATGCACGTAAAAGATCTCTTGGCAGATGGAATTTTATATGAGAGTAGACCGCAGCTCTGAAGTGCGAGCAAAATTTATCTAATGGCGTAAGCCCGTCTCCAATAGTCCAGTCGGAGCAGAAAAGTAGGATGTTAAACCCCATTTCATTTCATTTTTTCGTTGCTGACAAGTAGACAGACGAACATTTCAACCCATGCAATTTGTTCCGAGATACACAGGATGAAATTTGGTCTACGCTTTTAGAGAATTGTGCTTTATTTTACTGGAATTCGAAATAAGATTAGTGCTGCTGTCCAGACAAAATTCCCTTCATAGCTTACTGTATGACGTAAGACTGTCTTCAGTATGCCATTAAACCCCCTTTTCGTTAATAATTGTATGAATGTTTTATTTTCAGGGATCCACCATCTAATGTAGAAGAACATTCACCTGTTTTATTTCTTGATTTAAATGGTAAATATATTATATCATCTATTATAGTTAATACCTGTCTTCTAAGAATAAACTAAATTTCTCAAAACGTCTTTTAAAATGAGGAGATTTTGGTGTCTGAATGGTCTGTCATTGAGTTCCATCTTGATTCCATTAGAACACAGATCAAACTCAAATTTGATAAACTTAAAGTTGTTATAATTATATATTTTTAGCTGATGATATGTCTACAAACAGTACTAAAGAAGGTTTACAAGCTACGGCCATTAATTCTATATTACCTAAAGAACATGGGTCACAGTTCGTCAATCTACCGATTACCAAATCTTTCCCAGAAAAAGAATCTGTAAGTTTTCTATAACTATTGATTACTGATTAATTAGATGTCACTTTATTTTTTATATGTTTTTATAAGTTTCTCTTTGATATGACGAGGGTTTGGGTGGCCAAATGGTTAAAGCATGTGCGCGTTGTATCATAAGGACTGTCATTGAGTTAAGTGACGTGGTTTCGATTGCCCGCTTGTACGTGACCTCGTGGGTTTTCTCTGGGTTCTCCGTTTTCCTCCCACTGCTAAAGACCTCTACACGCAGGGTAGGGAAAACTGAGGTCCCGTGTACCCATAGTGCTGCCGTCCGGGGAAAAATTTCCTTCATACCACACTGAAGGGTGTATGCCCGTCTTCATTAGCCCACCCAGTCGGTGCAGAATAGTAGGAAGCTAAACCCTGTATCATTTATTTCTATCCTGCCTATCCTGCCCTATCAGTGCCATATTCACCGAATCATCTTGTCTCTTGTTACAAAAAGAGAGAGAGAGAAAGATGGGGTTTAATGTCCACTCGACACAAACCAGGTCATTTCGGGACTAACATGCTTCATTTTATTTCAATAATTCGCTTGCGCATAGGGGTCTTAAGCAGTGGGAGGAAACCGGAGGACCCGGAGAAAACCCACAAGGTCGGACAGGCGACCCGACTCCTTGTCACGTACAACTGGGGAATCGAAACCACACCAGTTGAATCAATGTCAGACTTATGATACAGCGCGCACACGCTAACCATTCAGCCATCCAACCCCCCTCTTGTTACAACAATCCATTGAATTTATGGTTATTGTATATACAATTATAACGTACCAAAATCATTTACTTTACAGGTTTGTGCTGTTGCATCGTGGGATTCATCTATTCACGATTCACAACATTTAAATCGTGTTACACCAGCCAATGAAAGAGTGTATGTCATATTGAAGGCTGTTGTACGATTAAGTCATCCTGCTTCAATGGAGTTGGTTTTACGCAAGAGAATATGTATCAACATTTATAAGAAACAGAGCATAACTTCATATTTGAAAAACAGACTGATAGGCACAGTAAGTAGACATTTATAAGAAACAGAGCATAACTTAAACATACATTATGCAAGAGCTAAATCTGCCTATTGCAAGTCTTTATTCAGGCCTGAAATGTTATCTCAATTATTAATTAGATATTTACTAACAAAACAAGACCATAATCGACTCTCGATGGCATCGGATACTCAAGATTTTAACTAGATTATGACGATTCGACATTTAAAAATTTGATTTATAAATGGAAATGTGAGGCCAAGTCCCGATGAATCTAGTGCCCTGGTAACTACTGTGCATGCATCTTGTCAAAACTACAAACAATGATAACTTGGCTGAGAATGAAGTAATTTGAATGAAATTTTCAATATTTTCATTTTTCATCATCTATTTTTGAATTATTATAGCAAGAATGACAAACTCTTTATAAAACTCTTAACTAATGTATCTTTAATATTTGAAAAACAGACTGATAGGCATAGTAAGTAGACATTTATAAGAAACAGAGCATAACTTAATATTGAAAAACAGGCACAGTAAGTAGACATTTAAAAATAGACTGATAGGTTACAGTAAGTAAACATTTAAAAACAGACCGATAGACTACAGTAAGTAAAAATTTAAAAATAGACTGATAGACACAGTAAGTAAACATTTAATAAACAGACTGATAGACTACAGTAAGTAGACATTTAAAAATAGACTGATAGGCACAGTAAGTAGACATTTAAAAACAGACTGATAGACTACAGTAAGTAAAAATTTAAAAATAGACTGATAGACACAGTAAGTAAACATTTAATAAACAGACTGATAGACTACAGTAAGTAGACATTTAAAAATAGACTGATAGGCACAGTATTTAGGCATTTAAAAACAGACTGATAGACTACAGTAAGTAAACATTTAAAAATAGACTGATAGACTACAGTAAGTAAACATTTAAAAACAGACTGATAGACACAGTAAGTAGACATTTAAAAACATACTGATAGACTACAGTAAGTGGACATTTAAAACTAGACTGATAGGCTACAGTAAGTAGACATTTAAAAAAACCCATAAAAACATGATATAATTCATGTACAAAATTATTTATTGAGTATAGTTTTACTTCATGTTGTTTTGTTTTTCAGGATTATTCAACATCCAGTAGTATTATTTATGAAGTTGTTTCAAACATTCCAAAGGTAAATCTGTTTTTTTAAATCCACCTTTAGTATATAATAACCCAATGAACAGGTAACACTAATGTATTCTAGTCATTTCAAAAGGGAAAATATTTAACAGTATATGTAAAAGTTTTTTAATAGTTTGAATCTAAAGAAGAATAAGCTATGTTTAAATTATGTTTGATTGCACACGTCAACTAAAGCTTGACTAAACAGACCATTTCATTGGCTGATCTCTTATATCAAAGAAAACAAATCCTTCCAGATGTTACTGCCGTAAAGTGCGAAATTTAAACTATGAAATTAAGTAGGGTTGTGTTGTGCAGGATCAAAAAGTCTCTACGACCAGTCGATGATCGTGTACTAAATTTTCCCCCATAGACTGCCCTACAATGGGGGGGTTGGATGGCCGAATGGTTAGCTTGTGCGCGTTGCATCATAAGATCTGTCATTGAGTCAACTGGCATAGTTTCGATTCCCTAGTTGTACATGACAAGGAGTAGGGTCGCCTGTTCAACCTCATGGATTTTCTCTGTCTCTGGGTCCTCCGGTTTCCTCCCACTGCCAAATTATTGAAATAAAATTGAACCATATGTTAGTCCCGAAATGACCTAGTTTGTGTTGAGTGGATGTTAAACCTAATTTCTCTCTCTCTCTCTCTCTCTGTGCCCTACAGCTGGTTGTGAGCTAGGCTTTAGCGTTTTGTTTTCTATTCTTTGACTGTAATATATATTCTAGGGGTCTGAAGATTTAGAAGAAATGGAAACATTAGCCCAGATGGCTGCTTCTCCTAATCAAGTTAATTCTAGTGATGGAGAGACGTATATTGAGAAATATATTAAAGGTATCTCAGCTGTAGAAAGTATACTCACATTAGATCGTCTTAGACAGGTAAGTTCTTTTGATTTCGGGGGCGGGGTTGGATGACAGGTAAGTTCTTTTGATTTCGCAGGCTTAGATGGGCACGTTGTATCATAAGGTCTTGTCATTGAGTCAACTGTCGTGGTTTTGATTCCCAGGTTGTATGTGAAAAGGAGTAGGGTCGCCTGTCCAACCTCGTGATTTTCTCTGGGTACTCTGGTTTTCTTCTCACTGCAAAAGACCCCTAAGTGCAAGCAAATTATTGAAAAAAAAATAAAATGAACCATATGTTAGTCCCGAAATGTCCTAGTTTGAGTTGAGTCAATGTCTGAACCCCATTTCTCTATCAAATTAGATAATGTGGAAAATTTGAAACAGATCTGCCAACATGCCTGTATAACTAACAAGAAAATTACTTATTTTTTTATTGTATTGACAGGAAGTAGCTGTGAAAGAATTATTAGCCGTGACTGGACGATCAAGTTCTTTACGTAAAACAACCAGTGTCCCCAATATAAATCAAGTATGTTATTTCTAAATCAATCTTCGTAAATAGATGAAATCTAAAGATACATCATATTGTATTAAGCCGATATCTCCATTTTGTTGCAAGTTTGCAAAGGAAATGAAGTGGGTTTAACATCCTACTGTTCTGCTCTGATTGGGCTAATGAAGACGGGCATATGTCATACAGTGTGCTACGAGGGAAATTTTGCCGGGACAGCGGCGCTGTGGTCTACTCTTTTATTGAATTCCAACTGCCAAGAGATCCTTAATGTGCATGCCCGTGTGTACACGAGACATCAGTTTTTAGTCCCATCCGAACGACTATACAACTGTCTTGGCAAAATTTCCCTCATGGTACATGGTATGCTGTACGTCGGTCATTATTAGCCCACCTTGATTCACAAAAGTTGGACGTTAAACCTCATTTCATTTTCATATCTGATATTGTATTGAATGAATTTTTTATTTATTATCTTTAATTTCAGATTTTAACCTCACCAACAAAACTAGATGAGCAGGTGTGTAGATTGATTTAGATTAATCGTGAATAGACAGGCCCAATTAATTGTGAATAGACGCGCTCAATCGTGAATAATTGTGAATAGACAGGCCCAAATAATTGTGAATAGACAGACCCAACTAATTGTGAATAGACAGACCCAATTAATTGTGAATAGACATGCCCAATTAATTGTGAATAGACAGGCCCATTTAATTGTGAATTGACAGGCCCGTTTACTAGTGGATAGACACGCTCAATTAATGTTGAATAGACAGACCCATTTAATTGTGAATAGACAGACACCAATATTGTCCTTCAATGCAACGGTCCTTGACAAACTCAAAAGTTCAACACTTGCATCCAAACGTATATCCTGCAGATATATCCAGAGCCCAGCCAATATCTACTCTAAGAATATAAATTCCATTTCATTTCACTTTTTTCTATCTTATTTCAGATGAGAGCTGACAGTGTATCTGATTTAACCTTTGACCCCTTGTCACCCAAATCTCAGCATTATCCTGGTGAGTTGTTTCGACAGCGTTCAAATTCTGACGCTAACACCCTAGCAACTGTTGCCAAGGAACTTCGTAAAGCTACTACTTTAGGTGGGTTGACCTGAACACTCTAAATCAATCAGCTCATTGCTTTATTATTTGGTTTTGATCGGTGTTGGTGGGCTTTTGTTATGTCACTGCTTTTAATGTAATCAATTTTTAAATTGTGATATTTTTATAACGAGTCACTTTGTGTTAAATTTACACTGAAACTAAGAATTTTTATGGGTTGTGACCGATTTGTTCTGGTTCCAGTGGATTGTTATTCTGTGTGAAAAATTATTTGAATCTTTTGCAACAAAAGTTTTTGTTAGTCGTGTGAACTCTTAAAATAAGAATCAGATGTTTAAAGAATGTGGGGGGTTGGGTGGCTGAATGGTAAACGCGCGTTGCATCAGAAGGTATGTCAAGTGCCATGGTTTGGATTCCCTCGTTGTACGTGACAAGAATTGTCACCCTACCAACCTTCTGGGTTTTCTCTGGGTCCTCTGGATTCCTCCCACTGCTAAAGATCCCAAAGCGAATTAATGAAATAAAATTGAACCATATGTTAGTCCCGAAATGTGTCGAGTGGACATTAAACCCCATTTCTCTATCTCTCTCTTCATATGTACAGTTAATGTGAAATTGTACGCTCTATTTAAATTTGTTGAAAATATTTTTAAATCAAATTAATTCAGGTCAATAAGGGTTATCGAATAAATTCTTGAATATCGGTCAGAATTTTACATTAAAGTGACTCGTAGAAATATCACAGTTGTAATAATTGAGGTTTTCAAACTTTCACAGTTTTTATTTTGAGAATCGTTGCTTGACAATCATATTTACACTGATGTCGAGAAATACTGGCCACATATTCAGCATATGGATGCTTTCTGTGTTTGTTATTGTATGAGCTTTATTTATTGTTCAAAATTTCAGATTTTCATGAGCTTAAACAAGACTTTTTGTTGTTTTTGAACAAACTGCCCCTCCCCTCTTTTCAGCAGTATTTAAAAAGTTGTTGAATATTAAACCCAAAATTATGAGCTATTTGTAAACTTCCCAAATGAGTAGGAAGTGATACCAGATGTTCTAGAAAAAGTAAGCCTTGTACAATGAATAGGGTCGTCTGTCCAACCTCATGGGTTTTCTCCGGGTCCTCCGGTTTTCTCCCACTGCAAGCAAATTATTGAAATAAAATTGAACCATGTGTTAGTCCAAAAATAACCTAGTTTGTGCAGAGTGAACGTTAAACCCCATTTCTCTCTCTCTATAGCATGAGCAGATAGCTTTGTTTATAAAAAGTCCTGGCTCGCTAGCCTGGAGGTCGGGTGTTCGATCCCTGCATTGGCCGAGAAAGTTCATCTTGATTTTCCGACGTGGTTTCCCCTTGTCAGTGATACAGGGCGGAGGGTGTCCCTCATAGCACACTGTATGGCGTATGCCCGTCTTCATTAGCCCAGTATAGGAGCAGAACAGTAGGACGGACAGCGGCACTACGGCCTATACTTAAATGAAATACCTTAAGGCTAGCAAGCCAACATCTAACTCACTGCACCAACGTGGCTCCTGTCGGGTCGTGCATTGTGAAAACTATTTTAATACTAGATAATGGATAAAATATTAAAATCTGCAATGGCTAGACTTCTCCTTTAATTAAGCCTGGTTCAAGGTCAGTCAATTGCAGAAAGAATTGTCCTCCACAAATCTGCATTGGCTAGAATTCTCCTTTAATTAAGCCTGGTCCAAGGTGAGTCAATTGCAGAAAGAATTGTTCACCACAAATCTACAAAGGCTTAAATTCTCCTTTAATTAAGCCTGGTCCAAGGTGAGTCAGTTGCAGAAAGAATTGCCCACCACAAATTGATAAAGAATGGCTGACATTTAGGGCTACATATAAAAACCCAATTCAATTTCAGTATTGTTTTGAACAGTTTGTGCTTTACGTTGTTTTCCTTGGTAGCTTATGCTTGGTGATTGTATTAAATTTTGACCGGTTACGGCAAAATGAGCCGGGAAGTCGCAATTCATTGTTAACGATATATGAACAAAAATATCGAAATAGGCTAAAATAAAAAAAAATAGTTTGCTTTATTTGTCAAATCTAAACTTTAACCTTTTCGTTATTTATTACGGGGGTTGGATGCCCGAATGGTTAGAATGTGCGCGCTGTATCATAAGGTCTGTCATTTAGTCAACTGGCGTGGTTTTGATTTGCCGGTGGTACGTGACAAGGAGTAGGGTTGAAAGTCCAATCTCGTGAGTTTTCTCCTCGTTCTTCGGTTTCCTCCCACTACTAAAGACCCCTACGCGCAAGCGAATTATTGAATTAAAATTGAACCATGTGTTGTTCCTGTATTGACCTAGTTTCTCTTTCTCTCTATTTATTATTAAAAAGATATTTTTAGCCTATTTTAACATTTTTGTTTATATCATAAGAGACTTGCAACTTCTGACTCGTTTTGCTATCACAGGTCACAATTATTCTTATTTCTATTAGAAAACTTGATAACTCAAGACTCTCGTGTAAATCTGTTTACATTGGTCTCGCAGCTTCAAATTTTTTGGATAGAATAAAGAATTATTTCTGTGGCTTTTGAATATTTCTTTTTTTTATCACAATATTTTGTTTTATCTATAAACAAAGGTAAGTTTTCTTAATTGTAATTTTTTCTGTGTTTGAGCTTCAATTTAAATTAATCCACTTTCATATGAAATACTTAAAGGATATCTGCAGCCATTGCCATTTGATTGTATTATTTATTAACTGATATTGAAAATAGTTTCAAAAGTTGAGAACCAGAAATGCAGGTTTCCCCTTGTTATGTGTGCAGGACTGAGGACTTGACAAGGACAGCTGTCTAGTTGTTCGGATGGGACTTAAAACCGAGGACCCATGTATACATTGGCGTGCACGTAAAAGATCCCTTGGCAGTTGGAATTCGATATAAGAGTAGGCTGTAGTGCCGCTGCCTGAGCAAAATTTCCCTCATAGCACACTGTATGGCGTATGCCCGTCTTCATTAGCCTAGTCAGAGCTGAACAGTAGGACGTTAAATCCCATTTCATTTCATTTGGAGTGAAACTATTACAGTATTGGATAATTGATCATATACGTAATCAAATGGCACCAACTGAGGTTATCCTATTTTGTAGTAACTGGTTCAAATTCAATTTGTGTGGATGGAATGAGTCCAAAATGAATATTCATTAATACTAATAACTTGATTGAAATGGCACCAACTGAGATTATCTGTTTTGTAGTACCGGGTTCAAATTCAATTTGTGTGAATGGAATGAGTCCAAAATAAATATTCATTAATATTATTAACTTGATTAAAATGTTGAATGGTATTAACATAAATGCTAAAAAGTTGTAATTGATTTTCTTTAAATACAATAATTTGTAATGATTAAAAGTATGTAAAGGCTAATATTGATATTAATTTTTACAAATAAGATAGGGAGAGAGCTCTCATAATGGTTAAAGAGATAGTAAGACTAAATTTTTGTTAAAAAGA